CCAAACATTTTGAGACATAGGTGATGAACGTATGTTCGCCGCCACGAACGTGTTGCCTCCCGGTCGTCAATGCGACGTGAAAGTCAGACTAAGGTACACACCGTTTTTCATATCGGCTGTTTCCATAAATTCTGTCTGAACACAGACGCTCGAACATGTCCCCACGCAACCGAGGACAGCGATGACAAAAGCAAAAGACGGAAAATAACTGGCCAGGTAAACACGTGTGGAAGTGACGGGACAAGGGTAGCTGGTTCGGTGCTAGTATCAGCACCTTTCAGCTTTCTCCTCTTGTTCGTCCGTGGCACGTCGCTGAAGTCCCTCATCCTCCTAGTCTGACGGGACTTTCCTTTCTGGCCCGCAATGTTGCCAGCTCCCTCTTTGCCGTCCTTCTTAGGTCTCCCTTTCTTGGGTGCTTGCCCAGGATTCTTGGGTACTCCTGTGCCTCCGGCGGTCTCCTTCAGAAGATACCCGAGGAAATCGTCAATCTTGACCTGGACGGACAGTGCTTGGTGAAGGGGTACGGACCTCATAATATCTCCTACGTTCTCCTTGCTCTTTGCCATTAGATGGGCGTAGACGCGACGTTTGTCGGCCTATCCTGCGCGGCCCGCACCGCGCGTTCAGCGGGGTGTGCGCCATCGAACGATTCATCGCATGTCGGTCCCCAGCAGTGGTCATCGCTTCCTTGGTGATGCCCGTCCCATCCTTCGCCGTGGCCTGACGACGACAGCACGAATGAGACGCTCCATGGCAAAACCTTTCCGTCATCGGATTGACGCCAACGGTTGTGGACACACGAACCGTCGAAGGCATGCGTAAAGCTCCACTCGTCACTTTCGCCAGTTCTCCCGATGAGGTTGGCAAGAACCGCGAAGTAGTGCCTGCAAGGCAGTCCGCGCCGCAAAAGCTGTAAACAGGAACGCAAATGGAAGTTGTGAGGCCCGAATGCGACGAGGTGGCTAGGATTGTTCGCCGAATACTTGTATCGAACGGCCGCGACCAGTTCGATAGGGAAGCCGGCGACCAATTCCAAGAAAGCTAGCAGCGATGTACAAGCCCACATGGTGTTGTCCTCTGCAGGTTCGTCAGCTAACGAGTCTCTCTCCAGATCGGTATCAGGTGGTGCGACCTGAAGAATGTTGAGCTTGAGGCGCAAATTGCGTATCTGGACAAAGTCGTCGTCGTGTAGAGGAAGCGGTTGTCCGTCTTCGTCCACATTTCCGGAAGTCACTAGTTCGACGTCATACGACTCCGATCCGTCGACCTGAGCTCTCCTGCGACAAAAAAAGATCGAACGAGTATGGTCGGTGAAAAGACGTAAAATTCCGGCATATATTTGGGTTTAGATTGGGCTGTGACGATGTCTGTTTGTGGTCAAGCTCGAGAAGTCACGGGCACACAATTGTTCGGAATCAAGAGCAACGATTCAGCGTCTTATGTACAAATACATGCCCCAACACGCCTTACTTTCTGGCAGTACTGGCTGGCACCACAGGCCAAAAGCTCTTGCTTCACGGGCTGGAAGAATTCCTCGACGTGCTTGTCCCGGAACGCCACCCCAGGGGTGATTAGGGGGGTCGCTAACCTGCATGCATTGCATCGGAGTGCTGCATCAAAAATATGGTGTATGAAATGTGGCGACGGGAGAGGTTAATGTCTAACGTCAACTACCATCATTATCCTTGAGCGTCTAGTTAATTTACCCACTAGGGATCCCCTCGCACGCGAAGCCTCTAGGGATCGGTAACATACAAAGTCACCTCGCACCTCGCTGTCTCGATGGCAATCATCTTGCTCACGTGTTGCAGGCGATCCCAAAGAGCGCACAGTGAAAGCTTCTTCTCGACACCCGAGCGCTTCGCCACTCCGAATAAACCTTCCGTGCGCTGAGTGGCAACCATGCCTAGCGTGACGACAGTGGGCCGCCAGCAGAACGCCCACTTCGTCTTGTTTCTGCGCACATCAACGGCGCCGACAATATAGCGAATTGGCGAATTTTGAGCGTAGAGACGTGGCCATCATACTTCAACCTATCATATCAACCGAATGCAGGCATGTCCCCCAACTAAACAGCTGGAACATACTCACGTTATCAAGTCGGTCATGTAATCTTCGCACTTCTTCCCGGCCACCAGGGTTTTCAACCGAGCCGCTTGCGTCGCGAACGCCTGCCGCCAAACCCAAATGGATGAAACATTATGTGGAATCAGTGACCCTATCCAGCTAGGTCCTTTGTACGCTGATACGCTGCCACAATTGATGTCTATGGCTCGTTATGACTCGGTCAAGGGGTGTGATAGTCGATACACGTCTGGGGCCATCTTGTAGCGGGAAAACACGATGGACTGGTATCGCACCTCCGGAGTAGCCGCATACGCTGCGCGTCTAAAGGTACGCAGCATGTCGGTCTTGGCGTCATTGTCAGGAAATGATGACGAGCAGTTCTTGCGGACATTCTTGAAGATGTGCCACAAGCAGTGCAAATGCAGCGTGTCTGGCCAACAGGAGGCTATTGCAGCGGTCATCGCAAGATCAGCATCGGTCAAGATTACCTGTGGGAAAGACAAACGAAAAGCGTGTCGTTGATGATAGGTGGAATAACTCGCTGATGTTGCCAGAACATGGAGAAGCTCGTGGTCGTCCACACAGCTCCTGGTCGTTCACACAGCTCGACTTAGCGGCGGCAGAAAATGAAAGTCACCTTGTTCCTGTCGCTGAAGGCATGGTATTGTTGTACATCACCCTGACTCCGTACCAAAGCATTCAAGTACCACCCCTAAACCCACATGATACGGACATGATGCTAGGGTCACCTTCGGCCTCCGCCCACCGGCAGCAGTTTCATATCTGTTGAGCATCCGCTCGAATGTTTGTGTACACTGACCGCAGCAATCCCTGCCCCAAAATGCACCTGCGATTTTCGTCGTCGACGCCGACGACGAACAGAAGCGGGCACCCGTACCTAAAGAGGAACGCGGTCAGCCCGAGCACATCAGTCCGGCTTACAGAAGCAAGCACTGTTATGCTGTTGCTAGCAGAACACATATCGGTCGTGAAGGCAGTTGGGATTGCAATGGTTTGTGGAGCACAATTCGCGGGCTGGCGTTGACACCCTCTCACCAGCTGAATTTGCCGTCGAGACAAGCAACCTCTCGCAGATGTTCAATAATCGTTGTACCTGTTAGTGAACACCGTCGTGTCCAGCTGGATGCACCCCCCAAATCTTGCAATGTGGGCTTGCTGTTCGATGGTGGACCAAAAAACATCCACCAGTCTCCCCTGGGCATCCAGTGTATGGTCGCAGTACATGCCAGGCTCGCTTTTCAGAGACGCCAGGAAGTCGGTTGCGTCCTCGGGTTTGGCGTTCAACTCGTCGCTAAGCTTCTGTATTTCGTAGTACACCTTCAGTACGATAACGGCGTCGCGACGTGAACGGCAAGAGGTCACGATGGGGTAAACTTCCGTCACATTTATGCAAGAGGATGTGATCAGTCGTTCTGTGATCCACCTACAGTAGGCAGGGCTGGCGTTTGTCTGTTTCGGAGAGACGCCTAGCAAGCAAATACATAGGTATGCCACCGCCTATTCCACTGTGTATCGGTTGTAGAAATGCGTAGTATCGAGGTGATATTTGCACGAGTTCCATACGGAAGTCTGTAGAATGTTCAGAAGATTCTGACGGAAGACTGATGAGGCGGTGGCCGGAGTCGATGTTGTCGCTAATGCTGGTTCCAGAAGTTGTACTTCTTTTCGGCTTTGTACAGTTCGCAGCTTGCTTGCAGAGTTGGCATGTTGAGGGATAGTTTGGCTGTGAGCCTGGTGGGGCTCGTAACACGTCGCGATATCGCTACGATTACAATCCAGGAGCCATATCTCGTCGCTACATGTTGCGTACTACCAAAATTCACTTGGGAGACCGCATCTACACATATCATCACATGCAGCAATCACACAGCTGCATCAAATTTCTACACAGATCCCATAGCAGTAGTGCGCGGTAGTACAGCCACCCACTATTTTCTTCCCCACTCTGCACAAGAGGCGACCGTCCTGGTTGAGTTGCAGCAGGTTGAAGATGTCTCGAACAGACACGCCCCCCGCATAACACGTCCGGATATCATCCACCCTTTCGCTGACGATGGAAGGCGACAGGGTGTCCTTGGCTTTGCTGGAAACCGCTCCCCGTGGGTTCTGGTTGTACAGTTGGACTGGTGGTATGGATAAAACGAGGGAGCCACTCAGTGTCACACTCGGTACTGTCTGACGTCCAACTGACGTCCAATATTACGTTTAGGAGGTAAGATAACCATGTATGATCCATTGTTGGCTACGTGGATGTCATTGCTCTGCCGTGCTTCGGTGAATATGTGTTGCCCAGCCATCGACCTTCGCCGTCGCGGGGAGACCGTGGAATGTAAAGAAACTCACTGATGAAATAGAAGGGTTGGTGTCCCGCAGAGGCCAGGTGATGGTGATCTTGAAAGGGCATCCCACCTATTCCATTCCAGAAAGAACCGTGGGAACAGTGGCGGGAAAGAGTGAACGAGTCAACCCAGACCACGATGCGATGGATACGGTTCGCACCGGACGTCGCCGTGAGCTGCCACGCGTGTCGCCGTCGATCATGTCACGTAAATGAAGGTAACGATGCCACTCGGATTGTACAACACAGCTCACCTTCTCCGTACTTCTCAACGAGGGCTTGCGGTCTTCTGTCGTCGTACGCTTCCCGTTTCCCCTTCTGCGCACGTGTCCCGCATGCGCACAACTGACGTCACAGTGATGGTCGCGCGATTTATCCGTCATCTGCACGCAAGAGACGAACAACACCGGCGCATTTAATCGCAGCCTTGGCCGTCGCGACTTCATTGCGAGGCGTGATCTTCACGGGTATGAAAGGATAATCGGAAAATCGGAGTGCTCGCAGAATTGTCACCTTCTTTTTGCGGTTTATCAGGAGAGTGTCGTACCCCTCAGCTCTAAGCTCTCCGAGAAATGTCTCGAAGACAGCATCCCACGTCTCTTGAGGAGAACCGAGCACGTCAAAGGAACGGCCCGCTTTTGCAATTCTTCCCGTCTCCCCCCGGCCAACTCCATTCCCGCCGTCTCCATTGCTCGCGTCCTATTCCGCAGCGCAAAGATAGGGAGTGGGAAAACGAACTGTCAATGACAATGATGGCTCCACGGACTAGTGAATTCCAACACAGGTCGTCCACGCCAGCCCTGCGTAAGACTTCTCCCGCCTACTTCTCCTGCCTACCTTTCGTCGCCGTCTGTTGCGTTTCCGTTGTTTTCGCCTTGTTTCTCTCTACTCCCGCGAGGCGTCACTCTCGTCACTGTCCGAACCATCCCCACTTCCTTCGCTGTACTCGTTCCCGGAGTCTTTCCCCCCGTCTGAACCACTGTTGCTTCCCTCATCATCACTATCTCCTTGGTATTGCCCTCCGCTTCTGGCTTTGGAACCCTGCCTACCCTTTGTTTCTGCCGACATCTCCGCATCTGTACTGCTGTCGCTTCCCTCATCATCACTCCTTCCCTTCTTTTGACCTTTGTACCCGTCTTTGCGACTCTGATCCCCTCCTTTCTTCCCGGATGCCATCCCCCTTTTCCCGCGCGGCTTGTCGTCATCTCGATTGTTTCTGCTCGTGTCTCCACCGTGCTTAAGGCCACTCCTGCCGGCACCCTTTCCTGTGCCTGTACCGTCGTTGTTTGTTGCCGCGGGTACCTGGATATCTTCCTCCTCCTTCGAACTGCTCTCAAGTGAAACGCATCCATTGTCGGATCTCCCTCTCTCTCCTGCAGGTGACCCTTTCCCCGAAGCAACATGCGTTCGGGCATACTTGACGTCTACCTCCGCGTAACGCGCCGCAATCGTCACGATGCTCTCAGCGTCATCCATTAGCACGTCGCACGACTCAACTTCTTTGTGGTCGGCATCCATGTTGACCTTCATCACAGTTCCGTACCCTGGTTGCTTCACATTCCAACGCCCATTGTGAAGGCGAGTGCCGACTATGATGTCGAAGCACCCCTGTACGAACACATGTGGAAGTGCGAAATGTTTCTTTTAAAGCAACGGGTGTGGGTGCTTTCGACAAGTGCTGGTGGCGAAGCACTAGCAAGACGTTGTAGCTACCCGAGACATCTTGGTCTTGGCGATATTGTTCCCGTTACGCTGGTCCCCATACCACCGTATGCGCTACGTCTGTTCAACGTGATAAATCATGACTCAT